TAAAATTTCTTTCTCTTGTCTAATTGCTGTGGCTAATGTTTCCAGAACTATATTGAAGAGGAGTGGTGATAATGGGCATCCTTGTCTTGTTCCTGATTTTAACATGAAGGTTTTCAGTTTAAGGATCATGCATTTTTTTAAAAAATCTAAAACATCACTATCAAAATCACTTAGGTTTTCTCTGATCTTCTAGGGATTTTATGGCTCTACATTATAAATTAGGCAACAATGCATATTGAGTTAATATTTGTGGAAAATATAAGGTGTGTGTCTAGATTCTTTTTATATTTTTGGCATGTGGATGTCCAACTGCTTCAGTAGCTTTTGTTGAAAATACTATTTTTACTGCACTGTGGTGGCTGTGCTTCTTCATCAACAATCAGTTGATTATATTTATGTATGTCTATTTCTCAGCTCTGAATTCTGTTCTTTTAACCATCTTTTTATTTTTTTATTTTTTGTCAAAACCACATTGTCTTGATTACTCTAACTTTAGAGTAAGTCTTGAAGTCAAGTAGGACCAGTCTCCCAACTGTTTTTTTCCTTCAGTATTGTTACCCAAAGTTCATATGAGGCCTTAAAAATGTCTCCCCTGAATTCTATAGCAATAAACGTCAAAATAACGGTTATGCTGTGACGGGGAGGAGTAATAACTGGGAAGTAGTACAGAAGGATTTTAGGAAGCTGACCGTGTTTGGTTGCTTGCCCTTCATGATGGTTACTCTTGCTCATTCACTTTTTAACTTACTACTTGAACACTACATATGTGTATTGTGCTGCCATTAAAGTTTCAGAGAGCAAGAGCATAGACAAGAGCTACTGACAAAAGGATACAAAGAGATGACAAGAAAACTTTGAAAGGTTAGAAATATTAATGAGCGGATTATACAACATCATGAGTTCTGAGTCTATACAAGCCAATCATTTAGTGAATGAATTTTATCTTTTTTTATCAGTATGTATCTGTGATACATAATAATTACATTCACATTGAGGAAATGGTACATATACATAGCACATCATTTTCACTTCCCTTTCCCTGCTGATCTTTCCTCTACCTCCTTTCCCAGATCGCTTCTCATCCTTAAAGTCTACTTTCCTAATTATCTATCTCTCTTTATTTTGCTCTCAAATTATTGATAGTTTGGGTTTTTCATATTAATGAAACCATGTGATTTTAACCTCCTGTGTCTGATTTATTTCACTTAGTATTATGATTTCAAGATCCATCCATTTTCCCACAAATGATGCCAATTTATCCTTCTTTATGGTTGAGTACTACACTATTTTAAACTTTACTATATATTCTTTATTCATTCATTTGGTGATGGACTATTGGTCACTTACATAATTTAGCTATGGTGCCGCTATAAACATACATTTAGTAAGTATATTTAAGTGCATAAACATTGATGCGAGTTGCTAATATATTAAAAACAAATAAGGCTAATCTTATGTCATTGCTGAGTATAAAGCCAAGTAGTGTTATTAGTAATATATTAGTGAGGCTTCATAGGCAGGGTTACATAAGCACAAAGCCTAAAGAGATATGGCTGGTTGCTCTAGTTGGTTTTACATTTTTTAAAAAGTGCTTCTAGGTGGTGTGTGGCAAGTTGATTTTGGATTCCTCATGCTCTACTGAGGGTTATGAATATTGTGGTCTCTATAAAATGATGGCTAGTGAGCTCTGAGAAGGTAAGGAGTCATTGAGACCACAGCCAAAATTTCACTGGAGGGGAAGATACTGGTCCAGGATAGACTCACCACCCTATCTGAGGCAGAACTCCAAAAAGGTGCCCAGCAAAGATACAGTTAACACTGAACATGGACCAAGAAGCCAGCCAGACTCTGAGGGGATATCCAACAGGAGATGCAGTCAAATCAGGAATGGAGGTCATGTCAGGAGCTGTCCCTTTTAGGGTGAGAACACCAAGACATTACCAAAAGCACGAGAGGGTCACCAAGGGTCCCAGCCAGAATCTCTGAAGAGAAAGCCTACCAACAGCCTGTCCACAGTAACCAAGAAGCAGTTGTGCGGCTAACCACATGTCCCTCTTCCCGGAGCTGACCAAAAGTGCACACCTGACAGCTGGTTCTGATAATTAGACCCTGCGGAGCCCAGAGAGTGCCAGTGTGAAGTCAGGTGCTGTATTCTGTCTCCTCTGATGCCTATCCACTAAATGGCCCCTGTCCACTTCTAATTCTCTATCCTTGACAAGGAGGAGAATTTCAGGGAGCAAATGCCAACTTTGGACGAATAAGAAATATTTTTTGAGATGGGGATGGAGTAAAATCAGAGTGACTGAGAAGAGCAACCTAGGGAACTCCTGGGTGGCATAGCAGAGAAGGTAGAAAACCTGTAAGTAGGATAATCTACAGAAAAAATAATAGAGATTTCAAGCCCAAGCATAGGAATCTACATTTTTAATCAGCTCAAGCAACATCATGTTTACAGAATTCACCATTTCTAATATCCAAGTATCATCTTTCAGAGCCACAGTACTATAATTCATCACATCCAGGCATGCAAAATCCCCCTTTTTCTAACATTAAGCATGTTTATTCATGAAGATTTATAATAGCACCTTAGGACTTTAATGAAAGGAAGGCATTTGATACATGATGTTTATAGTAATCATAATAATACCAGATTTAAGGTATAATTTTTACAGTGTTCTCCCACAAAGCCAAATTGTCCATGTCTTTAGTTAATCATTTGAAATGCTTGGGGAGGATCAGGATCCAAAATTAATTAATAGTTTTCTTCTCCACAATTGTCAGCATTATCACTGGTTACTGCTGCTTCCAGCTTCTTTGCAGTCTTGTTCTGTTGGCAATCAGCAAATGCCATTAAAGTTAGCTACTTGTTCTAATAGCCAAATGCCAAATGTCAAACCACACGTGGGATCATACTTATGCTTTAGGAAGTCAATGGGTTCAGCTTTGTTAGCCAAGAATTAACTCCAAATCTGGAGACTCCTTCGAATAGTGCTTGCAGAAAATTCCCATGACCTTGCCTCCTTGGACATACTAGGGAGTTCAAGGATGGCAGTTTTCATGCAAAGCTAAGAGCCTTGAAATTCTTTTTCAAAGTATCTAAACCTTTCTTTGTTGACCTCTAAAGGTTCTGTCTGCCTCTCTTCTGGGATCAGTCAAATTTACACACATTCCAGCTCCACTTGAGTGGACTTCAAGTCCCTATTTAGGCATTTGCTATTAACCACAGGTCTCATGCTTCACAGCCTTTTGTGACATGTGTTTATTTGAAGAGGTAAGCTGATGAAGCAGTGCCTTCCTGCTATTTTATAAGTTCTGCCTGACTCGGGAGACTAGTAGAGGGCCCTCTGCCAACACGCAGTAATGTGGGGCATGGACCAAGGTGAAGAATGTTACCTGGATGACTGCCTGTGGCCCCCTCAATTTTAAAATGCAGTGTCAAAACACAGCCACATCTGAAACACTTAAGAGTTCAGATTTCCAAGAACTTCAGACATGAACACTGAAGTGGAACATTACAAAACCCACAAATCAAAACCAAAGCTCATTTTCCCCAGACATGTAAAATAGAAAGCTTGAACTTACACAGACATCCACATCTAGCAAGTACCCAGTACGTCCCACCTGCCTTTGTGTTCTAACATCACCCTGCCTCCATTTGTTCCTCTCATTCATTCCCATTGTCTGGTTTATGGACTTATTATCACTATCATAATTACAGATAGTTATTAATTCTAATTCCATTTTAGTGCACTTTCTAAACCACTTAACTCTTTAGAATAAGATATCATATTTATATTATGTGGGTGCAATATGAGATATCCTAAATCGATCAAAGCTTGCTTACTCTTTTCTGTATACAATTTCAATAACTCAGTCTTCTGATTTCACTGCACACAGTAGCATAAAAGACCACAGCTGACAGAAAAAGTGTTATCTGTGTGGCACAGAATATTAAGCTTACTAACTAGATGTTGTTGCATCAAATAAATTAGTAAATGAGTCATCTAAGATACCAAGAGTTTAACAAGGAGAAGGTAGAAATTATTTTAAAACAAAGACAAGAATCAAAACAGCAACCAGGGCCTACACAGTGTAGGTGCAACCTCTTCATGGGTTGTGAAAGTCTTTGCTACATATGGAATGATTGATAAGTATAACTCTATCCCTTTAAAAAGCAATTGGTTTGTTCTTATGAGTCTTTAAAACAGTGTGTATCACACACTTTGGAAAGCTTTTCATTTGAAAATAATAAACTTTTAAAAGATAAAATGTAAGAGAGAAGTAATATGCAGCTTTCTGGAAATTTCACTTTTTTGTAATGCCTTGTCCCCTAGTCAGGCTTGATACCTGGTACTATATGTTCTCAGAGGAAGGAAGCAACAGAAGCAGAATATTCAGACCAGTTAGGACTATGTTCTGACTCATATGATCATATATAGTGGGAGCACTGCTAATTGAACCCTGGACTACGCTGATACCTCTAGTGGACAGCTCATTACCAGTAGTAGAAAAGGGAGAGTTAACAGCAGCTGTACAATAATACATCCCAAGAAATTGTTCACTAAGACCTCCAAACCAAATGACTTTCAGAACAACCCAGTTCCCTCATTGCCAAATCTCGGTTTCTGCAATGTTAACAAAAAGAGAAGGAATTTCCTAAATTCATGCTCAGAAGTTTTTGGGCAAACAGTGCTTTAGGAATGGAAGACACTAGTTAAATGTTATCTTTTGAGACTTGAATCCTGTCATAATATAAATCACAGCCCTAGACCACAAATCCTAGATTTCCCCAAAGCAATTCTGGGCAGTCTGTTTCCCACTCGAGTTCAGTAAGCAGCACAACGTAGGTGTTACACTGTCAGGGAAACCTCCATTTATTATCAGGAGCCTGTTTCCCCCCACCAGTTAAATAGAGGATCACAACCAATAAGCTTAACCTCCACATTTAACATTTCTCCCTTACAGGGAGCAAAGATTAACTCAGTCTTGTGTGTTTACAGAATTATGCAAAACTTATTCCTGGAACCACAGTGGGGCTGCTCCACAAGGACTCTGGAAACATCCTCCAGTTGATCATCTCAGCTTATGAAGTATGTATGATACTTTATGGAAAGTTGACTACTTTGGTATTCAAAAACTGATGTGTTTTAAGCCCATGATATGCCCTCTTATTTGTTAGTAGAGACAGTGCTTAAGACAATCTCTCTGCATTAAGTAGCCAAAATATAAATGTTGTTTACTTCATTTGCAGATCTTCTTCCTGAAAGGTGGAGCAGCAGGTAAAAAGTCAAAAACCTGATCCTAGAGTTCAAACAGCAGCACTATCCCCAGCAAAATTTTAATCTGACTGAAGACTCTATGAGTCATATGATTAAGCTCTCCTCTGAAAAAAATTCAGTGTAAATTTCCAGTGAGTAACAGAATTATGTGGAGAACCAATCCCATAGGTTTAATGAGATGAGATCATAACACCAAGCACACCACGTTTTAGGTTCCCTACTTTAGGGGACCAGGAAATTTCCATTTGTTTAATGAGTACTTATGTAATTTTTGGCCTTGACTTCATGAATTAGTACTAAGGGCAGAATTCCTCCCTTAAATTAAGATACATACCCACAGAGTTGCTGTTTTCTTTTTGTTGTTCTCATTTTCTAACTACATTGGGCAACAATGGATAGCCAATTGTGAACTCTTCTATATTTTGGTTCCTAAATATCATTCTCCTTTCTTGACTTTATTTACAAATACACACACACACACACACACACACACACACACAAAGATGTAGACGTAACTCTAAATTAGGAAATTGGGATAGGCATGAAAAAAGTAAATTCTTAGAGAGCAATAAAGCTCTAGAATTTGCTCTAAACAGCATTTACATAATGACAAATGAGTAAAATTGTCCTAATGTGTAATGTTTGAAAATTGCAAATCAGTGACCCATACGCAGTCACACTTAGCATATGCTGCACTGGTGACCTCTAAATAAATAACTCACCAGAAGCATCTGGGAAACTTTTTTTTTTTAAAAAAAGATGTGCTCAGATTCTTTTCATATACATCTCTGGAGAAGTTTAAGGGAAGGGAGAGATACATGCTTTGAAAAAAAAAAAAACTCTTCCTGTGGTTTTGACACCATCCTACCAATTTTGAAATTCACTTGAAGGAGGAAAAGCAAGATACTCAAATACTCTAAGTATTCTCAAATACTTTATTTACTCAAAGAACTAAATACAGATGTATCTATCAAAATAATAAGAGGGCAATTTCTCTCGCTGATGATCCTTAGAAATTTCATTTTGCTTAGTTCACTTCAAAAATTAATCACATTATCTCAAACTTGAAATTCTTCCAGGCAGGAAAAATTGTCAAAAAAACACTATTTAAAAAAAAAAAAAAAGCCAGGTGTGATGGCCCACGCCTTTAATCCCAGCACTCAGGAGGCTGAAGCAAGAGGATCACTGTGAGTTCAAGACCAGCCTGGGCTACATAGTGAGTTCCAGGTCAATCTCAATTACATAGTAAGACCCTGTCTCAAAAAAAAAAAAAAAATCTTCCTTCTTGTGCAATAAAGTTTTAGTGTGTAGAATCAAATAGAATCACAAATGAAGACTTTACTGAATTATAACACATTCCATTTTTTTTTACAACAATATTCTTAACATTGTTGGCTACTAACATCTAAAGAAATCAGACAAATGGGAAAATACTGATTGTTGAAACTATTTCCTTTTTGCAGTCTGACAGCCCCATCCATGACCCTGCTTCTTCTGTCAAAGGTTCCATCTCACTTTATGGTCCCAAATCATTCACATAACTTACAAGGCAGTTGAAATCATAGCATTAAACATTTGAATTGTATCTTGTGTCCTTGTTTTACTGTCTCAAAAATATCAAGACACATCTATTATTCTTCTACTAAACAGTTTTTCTCTGTGCAACATTATGATTCACAGAGTAAAGTATGCAGTAGGTTATAGCACTGATTCAAAGTGGTTTTTTTACTCTTGTTATTTTTTTGTTTGTTTGTATTTTGAGACAGGGTCTCACTACGTAGTTGAGACTGACCTGGAACTCACTATGTAACCCAGGCTGGTCTCAAACTCACAGAGATCCTCCTGCCTCCCAAGTGCTGGGATTACAGGCATGGATCACCATGCCCGGCTTACTCTTGTTATTTTTAAATGTATTCTTAAAAGACTTAAAATATAGGGATCTGCACATTGAATTTTTTCTTCAGAATTAAAAGAAAGACATGGAAGGAAAGGGAATATATGGAGAGAACACATAAAATACTTCTAAATGACTTCTAGTAGAGCAGAGGAAATTTGTGTCTACATTTGTGGCTACAAACATCAGCTGAGTATTTTACAGCGCCATGTGGATTGTTAATTCTTGATATAAAAATCTTAAATACTTGATGTGCACTCATCTGACCATAAGTTCCTTCCATAACCAAATAATAAAAGCTACTAGACCTTCTCCACCCTTGGTGGGAGTGTAGACTGGTGCAACCACTGTGGAAATCAGTGTGGCAATTCCTCAAAAAACTAGGATTAGAGGTCCCATTTGACCCAGCTATTCCACTTCTGGGTATATTCCTGAAAGAATTAAAAGCATCATACCACAGTGATACATGAGTACCCATGTTAATAGTGACACAATTTATAATAGCTAAATCTTGGAAACAGCCCAAATGCCCATCAATTGGTGATTGTAGAAAATAGATAATTTTTGTTTTTTTTGTTTTTTAAAAAATAAAATGGAGTATTACTCAGCCATAAAGAAAGACAAACTAGAGACATTTATGGATGCATAGAGAGGCCATACTCTTAAGTGAAATAAATAGGACACGTGTAAATACTGAATTGTTTCTCTGGTGTGAGAAACTGAAAATGTAAACGAGGACCAAAATGTATAATAGATACTGTGAAATTGGAAGAAAATGTTCAAAGGGGAAGAGGAACTAAGGGCATGGGGAGAAAAGAAAGAAAAAAATGAAGGAAAAATAGAAACAAAGTTTATGTAAAAAGGGAGAAGTGGAGGGCTTGAGGGGAGGGAAAGGGAATGGGAAAAAATATGAACCAAGGTAAGTCATGTACAGGTACAAATTCCCAATGCTGAATGTGATCATAATGCATACCTAAAATACACCAATAAACTTAATAAATAAAAAATATGACATAAGACAAATAAATAAATAAATGGTACTAGAAATAGCAATGGACCCAAGGGTAAACTCTTCTATTAGGATTTAAACTGTAAGAAAAAAATCCATCTGGTTTGTTTTTTTCCCTGACTCATATGAGATGCTCCATAAATAAATTAATGAAGTGATGAAAAATAGAAGTTAACATGGATGTCCTTTCCCTGGGAAATTTGCATTCAAATATTCCTGGTTAAATTTGCAATATGATATTCAATTATAGCAATGCTGAGATTGCCTTCATTTAGTTTAGATTATGTCACTCAATGACCTCATTATTGCTGTCACCTGCAGACACTTCCCTCATTTCTCATTTTGCTCCTGACTCACTCTGCCACTTCTCCAACACTGCTTCTGTCTTAATTCTTGATGAATTCAGTAGAAGCAGAATTTGGAGAAGGAAGGGTCATCATACTACACAGCTGGAAAATTATAGTTCAGGAAAATTTGAAGCTGAATATGCTTTTGTAAATGTCAGCAGTGAAATTAGTGCAAGGACTCAAAGCCTTTTAAGTGATTTGTACAATAACTCAATTCATAATATTTTAAAATTTATTTTTATTATTGTATATGGAGGAGTGAACCCAGGCCATTTATGCTAGGCAAGCTCTCTACCACTGAGCTACAACCCCAACCCCATTCTAGTTAGGTTTTTTATTATTTGGCTTTGTCCCCCCAGATACAGACTTATGATGTAAGTGAAAAAAAAATAGAAAACATAGGGTGACAAGTTTGAGAGCAGAAATTTGATCTTTTCCTGTACCTGACCCTACATTTAATGAGCAATAGGTACTCAATAAATTCCAATGATGATCTGAAGGCACTGTTTCCCCCTACATTTTGACACCTGTGAAATTTGGATCCATCTTGTAGTTAATGGTATCTTGCAACCGCTGCATGTCAGGCAGCAATCAGGATAGTTTTCACTGACAATTGTGATCACCATTTCAACTTGTTAAATGCATTGTGGCTCCTAGAAGTTCTAAGTTTAACTGCCATTTTTTTAAAAGCATCTTCAAAAAGTTTACACCATGACTCGACATTGAGATGAAAAGTTATTATGTATGCAGAAATGTACCAAAACAGAACAGCAGGGTGTAAATTTGATATCAGTGAAGCAAATATTCATCCTTAGAGGAATGGCTGCAATTCTGTGTTCTTTAAAAAGCAACAACCAGCTGCTTCATAGGACCTAGGAAATAATGACACCTACAACTAAAGAAAGCTGTTGTTATATTATGTTAGCAATACATAAGCAAAAGAATTGCCTTTTATAAGCCAAACTGTGCAACTTGGGGTAGGAGAATTTGCCAAATCCTTCAGAATGATGAAATGCTTTTCAGAGCAAAGACAGCTGATATCTATCATATATATTATTGTGTTGAACCACCCTAGGTATTTGATCACAGGTTAATTGTTATAATAGTGTATCTTATAATTAAGGCCTGAGGTTAGATACAATATGAAATACACACACACACACACACACACACACACACACACACACACACACACACACACACACACACACACACACACACACACACACACACACACACATTGATTGTCTTCTTGCTTAATGATATGGATAATTTCTTTTAGACCCGATTTAATTTTATTCATATGTAGTCTAGTGAACATGATTCAGTTTCTCCTTCTGGCCTTAAGTTTTCTGTTGTGTCTTCGTTTAACTCTTCTTGTCTTCTCTAAAGGAACTGCGGTCTGAGGTGGAGCTGGAAGTATTAGGAGACACAGAGGGACTCAACCTCTCCTTCACAGCTGTCTGTAGTAATGGTACCCTACTCCCACACCAAAAGAAATGCTTGCACATGAAAGTGGGAGAAACCGTAAGTAGGTGGCCAGCAGACTGGCTGAAAAGTATTTGGATGGGTAGCAATTAGCTTAGCTCATTGAAACTGGATTTCTTCCAAGAATTGCAGAGACTTCCTTATACACTTTTTTAGCAAAGCTGATTTCCCCACAGCCCTGTTTCGCCTCCTGCAGGTTGGTGAATGGAGGAAGCAGATAATGAGTATTTTCTTTTCCAGGCTTCATTCAATGTGACTATGAGTATACCAAACTGTGAGAGAAAAAGCAGGCACATTGTCATAAAGCCTGTGGGACTGGGGGACACCCTGGAACTCCTTGTCAGCCCAGAATGCAGCTGCAACTGTCAGAAAGAAGTGGAAGTGAACAGCTCCAAATGCCACGATGGGAACGGATCCTTCCAGTGTGGGGTGTGCACCTGTAACCCCGGCCACATGGGCCCTCACTGCGAGTGTGGCGAGGACACACTGAGCACAGATTCCTGCAAAGAGACCCCTGACAGTCCGTCGTGCAGTGGAAGGGGTGACTGCTACTGTGGGCAGTGCATCTGTCACTTGTCTCCCTATGGAAACATTTATGGACCTTACTGCCAGTGTGACGATTTCTCCTGTGTGAGACACAAAGGGCTACTCTGTGGAGGTAGGCTTCATCCAGCTCCATCTTACACTACAGCTGTTAAACTATCAGGAAGCACCTTTGCCTCTTTTGTCCCTTCCTTGTTTTCCTTGGGAATAGTAGGTGCTCAGTAAATATTTGCTGATTAACTCAGTGGGTTATACCAAGCCTAAATTTGGGATTAGTGAATCTTCTCTTGACTTTTTTTCTGGCTTTAATATTCACTTAGAGTAAGATATCTGCCAACTGAACTTAGATTTCTATTATTATTTAACTGAGAGCAAATAGGTAAAAGATGGAAATGCCTTCTCTCTAGTTATCACCCCAATATTCAAAACTGCCTGTAATCTGAACTTCATTAGATAATGGAATTTTCTAGACTTTTCCAGACATTTCTAGATCAAGCTGCTAAGTCTGATTCAACTCCTAAAAGCCTACTACTTTGCAAAAATAAAAAATAAAAATATACTACTCAAGACAAGGAGCACAGAAATACTAAGCAGATTTTCATAACTTTTGCTTATTCCTCAAATACTTATTAAACAGCATGTGACAGATACTAGGTTTAGTTGTGAGTCTAGTAAAGATGGGTAAGGACATATGTGAGGAAGCCTACAAAAAAAGAAAAAGAAAAAGAAAATTGTTTCCAGTTTCTTGAGAAATTTGAGAAAAGTTTAAAATAAAAATAGTTATACTTGCAAAAATCTCTCATTACATATAACATGACTGTTATAAATCACTCCAACATATATACACATCTAGTTAAGTATAATCTACTCAGACAAGAGTTATAAATATGTTAATATCTTTTAAAATTATCTAAATGTGTACTACAACTGAAATACTAACTGGCTGCTGCATTTAAGATCTAATGTCTTGGTTTCTCACAGCATGCGGCAAGAAGTCAGCCAAAGGCGATCACCACATCCCAGAAAAAAATATATTTGGTGGAATCTCACACTGCATTTCTAATGCAAGTGTTTTAAAACATACGTGTTCAAAACTTTTGACTTTATTTTAAAATCCTGCATGCAACCTACTCTAATAGTGACACTAACTCCATCTGTATTTCACCCTTTACATCCCGGATCAGAGGGATCCAGGAGGGGAATCACTCAGCTGTGCCCAGCAGCACGCATTCCTTGATTGTCTTTCCTTGTATTTGTATGCAGAGGAAACAGAAATAAAATCAGAAAGAGCTGACTTGATCTGTGTTTTGTAGACAGGAAGTCCTGACAAAGCACCTCTTTTAATCAGTTACAAAAATTTTATTTAGAAAACACAATGATTTCTTCAGCTGGATGTTGAAAACTTCACCAATGCCAGTTTCCTTCACACTGTGGAGTACTTTGTGATCTTCAACCACTGCTCTTTCATCTATTTTGATTTTTAGTAACATCACAAAAGATGTTATTTTATCATTTATTTCCTTTATAAGGTGTACTAAAAGTAAACACAATTACTCAAATTCAACAAATATTTGTGGAGTATCTACTATGTGCCAGGTTTGTGCTTGATGCAGGAATGAAAACTGTGCCTAGCATTGCCAGACTGTTGCAGCTGGTGCTGCTACTGTGATTTTTCAAAGCAGAACAAATCTGCCACAGCTTTACAACTTGTGTCATCTCATTTATTTTACCACTAATGTGCTTGGCAATGTGCTGCTTTCTGAAGAGCTATTATCACAATGTTCTTTTTTCACGCAACTTCTTTCATCCATCTATAATACTCAAAGATAGAGGGCACCATTGATTTTTTTTTTTGACCAAATTCCATTAGTGTCTTATATTTTGATTCTAAGAGACTGGAGACAGTAACAGGCAAATGGCATTAGAGAACAAACTTCCTGTCATTATGTACTTATAGTTATTTGTCATGGCTTCCAGAAAGATCTATCTATCTGAAAAGAGCCTGGTAACAACTTTGTTATCGTCTTGCCTCTACGTGTGGGTAATAAAAACGGGTAGTTGTTGTTGTTGTTTCTGTTGTTAAACAGGTACTTTAGACAAGTTGGTTGCTTGAGGATATCAATTAGCAATTTTGGAGACCATGCTGTCCGTTCTGACCATCAGAGATGAGGGTTTCTAAATTCTGAAAGGAGCGTGGTGTGGCTTTGTTGAGATGCTTCTTTTTTTACTGCTCTAGGAAGAGTTTTCTGAATTTCTGCCAAGTAATTCTTACAGGCAATGGTACCCTCAGGCAGACTCATTTGGAGATAAATATTTCATTTAATAATATTTATAGGTCATATTAATTTTTCAGAATGTATTATAATTTAAAAATATCTTCCTGTCCTGAATATAAGCCCTCTTGCTGATGAAGAAACAAAAGATATTATAGCTCTTAAGATCACTTACACATAGAAATTTTGGCTCAAATTACTTAACTATTCTTAGTTTTGAATTTATTAGTAGAGTTATGAATTACATAGGTAATGGAATAGAATTGGAATATGTTTTAACATCACAAATCCAGATAAAGTTTACTTCAACTTTCATCAGAGAAGAATGTGCCTTTAGTTTATATACATATATGTATACATATAGAAAATGTATAAACATGTACAAACATGTATACACTCAATTACACACACACACACATACACACACACACACACACCAGGAGCAATCAGAATTCAACTTTGAAACTTTTATGATTATTTTTTCAGTGATTTTTGTCCACTCAGGACATTAAGTCAAGGACGCTGTTAGCTACCCTTAGTTCTTTAGGCCCACTCATGAAGACAGAAAAATAGCTAGTTACTAGATTAAGGTTTGTAAGAGAAAACCTTTGTGCTACAGTGAACTTGGCAGTGTGTCCTACAAGCAAAAGAATGAATCACTTGTGATTTTGTTTTACATCCACTTTATTTTCAGTAAAAGTATAGGAATTTTAATACTGAGGAATAATTTTGCTTATAAATTCTACTAGATGTCTTGAAGAATAATGCTAATAACTAGTGCTTACATAGTGCAGAGTTGTGGGCCAGGTCTTGGTATAAGCACTGTTACAGACTGTAATAGATAACCCTCAGTTTTGCTGGAAAAGCAAAACTTTTTGGTGCAAAGTGCTTAGGTGCACAATTCTTTTTCTGAAGAAAAATATCACTTATGAGAATTTGTAAATAAATGTTATTTGTTTGAAATATCAAATGCCTGTTTTAGTACCTTGAGCATGGCAGGCGCACAAAGGTATTACAGAAAGGAACAAAATCCCACCCTCCTAAACAGCTTATCATTTTGGAGCGGGCCTTGCTCTCTGTCATGCAGCCAGATCCAGGAAGGGCTTTGCAGCATTAGGATGAGCTGCTGGTCCGCAGCAAGTGTCCAGGTGCCTCCTCACTGAAGCTGTGTTCACGCCAGGATTCTGCAGCATCACCGTCGTTGCCCTCTAAGGCTTCTCAGTCTGTCTCAGGAGAATCCTCTTCCTTGACCACATTTTAAGTGTTGATAGTCTCCAGAGCTTTCCTCCCTACCTGCTTACCCTGGAAGACCTGATCCACCATCACAGTGTCCTGCTGGATCCAAACCCCAAACTTCAGGCTCATCTATAGATTTTCAACCACCTAGGATGTTAACTAGGAGAGACAAAAGTGAATTCACTGTCTTCCATAACCAAAGATAATTTCCTCATCTGCTTCAGAACCATTTATTCACTCAAAAGTTGAGCATGACAGGCATTGAGTATATGGCAGGGAACATGAGCTGGCTTTATTCCAGTGGAAAGCTCGGCAATGGGGAGGATTCCATCCCTACCTTTCTGCCCTCACACGGCACCTCACACCCGTCACACATGCCCTGAGCACTCCATCCTTGAAATGTGTGTCCTTTTACCTTTTCCCACTGATGTTGCAGTAGTTCAGGCCCCTGCCTGTGAAGGGCCTCTCAACTGGTTTCCCTGTCACTACTGTGATCTCTCTATACTGATGCCAGGATATTTCTAGACACATATCCAACTGTCCGGGCCCATCCCCTACTTAAAATTCTGAAACCTTCAGGAAGAAGTTCCTACTTAAAGCCCACCACACTTCTCGTGACCTGACTTCTGCCATTTTATTGACCTTTCCATCTTCTCTACTGCCGTATCTGTGCTGGATCTCTATCCATACGGAACTAAGCAGGTCACATGATTCGGTACTTCTATCATTTGCCTATGTCTTTTCTGTGCCCGAAATGCACATAACCCTCTTTTTCTTCTCTCTGCTATCTTTATCTTCCAAATTCAACCCAAGCATCACTACCTCCGGAAATCTTCCCAGATCTCCAGTGTAATTTGGGAACTTTCCTCCTGTGAACACAAACTTATCATACTATATTACTTTTAGTAGGAATAATATTCATTTTCCATTCTTTTATACTAGATTATAAATTCACTGACCTTGTTTTACTTAATTCTGCATCTTTATGGCTAAAATAATCTTTGGCATATAGTGCATGCTCAATTAAAGTTTGTTAAATAATGACTTTGTTGAGTACTCACTGTATGCCTTTGGGACAAATAATTGGTGAATGCAAAATAGATTTAGGTACATTATCTCCCCTGATCACAACTATTGGAAGTAGACTGTGTTCTTTGTTTTATAGATGAGGCTTTCATGTTCATTCATCTTGAGGGATATAGCAGAGTGGATATTAACAGGGACTACATGTTTCTGTAGTTTATGGCATATTAATTAAAACCAGATATACTACAAACACATACTCACCAAGCACCTACTTAACCATTACAAGCTTATCTGGATTATCTCATTTCATTTGGTTATTAAAGTTGTAGGTGATCAAGTGCATCTTCAGTTAGGAGACCAATCAGTAAATATATTCAATTACATCCTTTTGCTGATGTTTTAAAGCAAAGAGAAAAGATGCCCCCACCCCTACAAAAACTGCAGGTGGTTTTGGCCTTAGGCAGCCTTGAGCGTGTGTTTTACAGATAACGGCGACTGTGAGTGTGGTGAGTGCGTGTGCAGGAGTGGCTGGACTGGCGAGTACTGCAACTGCACAACCAGCACGGACCTGTGCGTCTCCGAAGACGGCTTGCTCTGCAGCGGGCGAGGGGACTGCGTGTGCGGCGAGTGTGTCTGCACGGACCCTGGAGCCTCAGGAGCCACCTGTGAACGATGTCCTACCTGTAGTGACCCCTGTAACTCTAAACGGTAATGTGTCCTCTCTCTTTAGTCCCTTTTGTGGATAGGATTTCTGGTGATCAGAGTTCTAATGATATTTTGGAAATTCAGACCTCAGATTGTCTTTGCTGGGTTCAGTCTCCCGGCATCCGCGAAAGCACACAGACCCCATCAGGGCCCTGTGATCCTTGGGCTGGAACATCAGTCTCCCTTTTGCCTGTTTCGGGTTCTGATTATCCAGAATCACAATGTCACATTTCTGCCCGGACAGCCTGGGAAAGTTCAGCTGATGTCCCACACTGATAGCATTAGATGGCCAGAGGGTACAATAGCAGCCACACAGAAGAAGGTCCTGGAGGTGTTCTGCTGACACCCACCCTGCAGTCAGTGCCTTTTCAGTGGAAACAGACAAGCCTCTTTCTTATACAAAGGATATGGTCTAACCTTCCCATCCATTTCTATCCATAAACTGTTGGAGGCAGAGGTAGAAAGATGATCTTATCATTCAGTTCCCTCCTTCTTTATCACCCTGCAGCCTTTGGTGCCTTTTTGTGGTTGTTATAATACACATCTACTGTGTATTGTACTTTTTATGTCATGAAAACAATAATAACCTACCAAAACCCACATTTTCTTATTTACTGGAAAGAAAACTATTTGTTTGGTTAGCAGCTAACATCCTCATGGAACTGGAGCAAAATTTGTTGGTCAAATGAAGAAAGTACCCAAGATGACTGCTATGAAATTGCAGTGAATCAAAGGCATCAAAAACTTAAGCTGTTCATATTTTCATTAACCTTGATACTCAAAATGATAACATTTACATTTCTGATGGAAACAGAAAGACAAAATCAATTTCTCATTCAGTGATTACTCACCATTCAGCTGTCAAAATGTCTCTGTCACTGTCCCTGGCAAACTAAGACTTCTGCCAGAAGTATGGGGACATGATCAAAATTATTTGTGTAGAATCAAATGTAAAGTTTCCTTTCAGGATATTGCCTTTATTGTTTTTCTATTTCATCTCTTCTGTAAACATGATTCAGTCTTAAATCTGATTTGTAAGATATAGAAATTAAATCAAAGAAATTAAAATTTGCAAATCAGACAGATCTCCTTAATATTTGGTAGTTTTGAGGTGAGTCCATTCCTCCATTTATTTGTGATGTATTCACTTATCAGATAGGAACTTTAATGGTCTTAGACTATGGACTTGCAGTAGTGAGGGCTGAAACAGCTATAGGTTTCTACCTTCGCAGGTGCCGAGAGTCTAATGGGAAAGTTCTTTAAAGTAACTAAAGTGGTATTTGGACTGCCACTTACAAAAGGGGATGGAAAAGACGCTATGCAACTATGTGGCACAGATAGAGCCAGAAGTCTACTGTCATAGCCATCAGTAAGACATACTAAGGAGCTTTTAGGGGTTGCAACCCTCTCCACTAGGCCCCCACCAAACCACTTCATCAGATCCATAATTTAGATACATGCGATATACTTGCAAAGCAAAGGAAACTTCACAGCAAGACCCCTATTCCCATTTGGCATAGGTTGCTGCTCTCAAGCTCTGCCTGCAGGGAAATTTTGTGGCTTCCATGGCAAGGGAAAGACTCATCCTCCAGAGTCAGGGAAGGTTTGCCTAAGGAGGTACAGCTTCAGCTGAGACTGATGAGCCATGGGTGGGCTGTGTTTCAAGCACTTAGAAGAGTACATGTTTCCATGGCTCCCTGGGAACAAGAAGTAGCACACCATGTTGGTCCTCACAGTAAGAAAGCTGTGCTGCTTTGCCTTAATCCAACCCAATCTATCTGCAGAATGATCTGCAGTGCAAAATAAACTCAGGGTCTAAATTTTACTTTACTTCTTTAAGATATCTTAATTTCTTTATGTTCTAGGGAATACATTTTTTCCATAAGTAGAAATCTTTTCTTACAAAGCCTAAATTAATGAGTATCCAGACTCTAATCCTAAGCTTTTAAAAATACTCCTATGAACTCTTGGACTTACTCGAAAGTCTAACGGAAAAGTGAATTTTTAACATAATCACATATGACATGTATGAAGAAGGCTAATTATTCTGAGAATTCCAGTTGAGATATAGCTCACTTCTGTTAAGAAATTCAAAATGTTGACCAATCTCTAATAACATTTGTGAGCATAATAATCTCTCCCTAGAAAAAAGCAAAATGAAAGAATAGTTAAATCAAATACAAAAACAATTTTCCTAGCCAATCAGAAACAATCACTATGCTCTACTAAAAATGAGTATTACTGCTATCAAGGCTGATTCAGAGAATGTGAACTACTAAGTGGAATTTGGGATAATCCAGTGTCCTCATGGACGTCATCCAAATGTCTTTCTGAAAGTAACCAAAAGTCAATGTCATCTAGGAGACACTTCTGTAGCACAACTTGCAGCAACAGCAGCAAAGCAATATTTCAGCTGCAAATCTATTTTCCACCAACATGAACTATAAACTCTGTTGAATCCTGTCTGCAGGAGCTGCATTGAATGCCACCTGTCTGCAGATGGCCAGCCTGGAGAAGAATGTGTGGACAAATGCAAACTAGCAGGTGTAACCATCAGCGATGAAGGTGCTCTACTTGTCTTGAATTGCATTTATTTCCTTTACCTACTTCTTGGGAGGTAGAAACTCAGTGGATCAAGGACTGCTCAACCTCATTTATACTAGGACATTAGGTCACTCGCTTTCCTTTTCTTAAGAGTAAGTGCGTTCTGTAAGGCTAAGAACTTGATGGCTCGAGATATAGGCAATTTAAAGTCAGGGCTATTTTATTGGACTTCATCTCTGTTGACAAGTTCACCTCTGCTTAACAAATGTAACTGTAGAGAATTCCAGAATGCTATATGTTCCAAACTAGAAACCAAGACAATTGAAAAAATGGCTAAATGTTAACCCCCCAAACTGGAAATTGTCCTCTATCATCTGATTGCCTTATTTCAAGATAAGCTAAAACCAGCAGTAAAACAATTTTCTTGATTTCAGCCCTATACCCTGGGCAGTTTCTAGTTAGCTGCCATCTTTCCTCAATCCTCTCCTCCTCTCAATCTTTTTACTCCTCTAGGAGTAAAGTGCTTTTATACCTGACCTTCCAAACAAGCGCATTACATGACTATGCTCATTTCTCTTTTCCCCCACCCCCAGAATTAGGCGTCTCTATTTTCTCTAACTGTTATGCATGCGAACTCTGTTCTTGTTCATCAGCCCTTATAAGTTTAATACTTAAAACAATTCTTTCTAATGGTAACTTTTTATTTCAAATATTTAAATCAATTGCTTTTTAGCTAGGAAGGCTAGTTTTAAAAATAATTTGAGAAGCTTAAAATAAAAAAGACGATTGACTCCTACCCAAAGGAACAATCTAGAGGAATTTGGTTTTGTGTCATCACAAACTCTGCATTATCATGCTGCTCAGGAAGAATTGCTACTCTGCAAACATTATGAATGTGATAGGAAGACTGTCTCAGGTGATAGGAAATAACCAGGACAATAATTTATGACACTGTAGGATATGTATTCTGAATAGATGAAATTAGGATTTTGAAATTAATCCATTTCCAAAATGGAGCGATATAATGATGTTTATATTCTTTTGAAAATTACCTTATTTCAAAATTGAGAAATCTGACATACAGTTGCATTATCCTATGTGAAGGGACATGATTAGGGTTCATAAAAGCCCTCATCTCTGCTTTCCTGAAGACCCAAGATAAACGTACAAATAGTAGTAAACAGGATAAGAGTGTGCACCTTAGACGAATACCAAGGGTGAAACACATTACAGCACCGAGTGAAGCAGCGTCCGCTCACATTCATAACTGGTGCTGAGTCTCAGCCTGTCTTTCTAGGTTCATTTCACAGCAAACAGGGGGCATATTTACCAGATGTCTCTGAGAAATGAGCACAAATTGCAGAAAATGCCCTGCAAATGACTGGACCTCAATTCACTACCAACACGGGAAATCCAATGTGTTGAAGGGAAAAAGGGAGTGAGCCTTAGAAAATGTAAATCCAGGTGGTGTGAGTCGAGAACTTACTACAGTTAGGTACACAATTTTCTGAGTAGATTGTCCTAAGTGCTTGGATTTTAAAGGATGGATAGGTTCAAGTGGTATTTGAAACATTTGCTTTTTTATGTGTATTTGACTAAATTATCTTCAAAAGGGAGACATACAACAATTTCTAGAATTAGAAATAATAATTGGATTATTAGCACCATTTAAAGTGCTACTCTGGATGAACTTAAGAGAAAAAAAAAGATATTTGTCAGACTGAGTTAAAGAGCCAACTTTGATTTTAAGTACTTTTTTTTTGGTAGCAGGGATCAAACTCAGGCCCTTGCACCTGCAAGGTAGGCGGTGGAACCACTGAGCTAAATCCCCAGCCCTATTTTAAGTTCTTTTAAGGCTTCATACTGAACTACACTCCCCCAGTTCTTTTTATTTTTATTTTGAAACTGGGTCATTAAGTGTCCAAGGCTGAGCTCAAACTTGGATCCTCCAGCCTCAGTCTCCCAGAGTACTGGGATTACTTGGGGTCTGGGAAAGAGAACCACTTTTCTAATGAGCCCGTTTGGAATTATTCATCCACATATTTTATTGCTCACACTACTTTGAAATGATCACATCATATTCCCTCTTCCAGAGGGTCTTTTGGCAAACCCACCCATCCCCCAATGAGAACACGAAGAGTGAAATACAATAATTTCGTAATCCATATGAACTGATCCGAATTTGTGCGGTGGGTGAGTTAGGTGAGCACCTCTAAGAACATGTGATTTAACCTTATACATTCCATTACTGAGTCATGTGCTTGATTACTCCAACATTCGCATGCTCAGAGCGTCGGTAACAAAACACATTCCGTGGAACATTAGTTCTGAAGGCACCGAATGGAAAAAAGCACCTACTATCTTATAAATTTTGTTAATGGATCTTCCCTGAAAGACTTTTGAGAATTGTTGAGCACATCAGATTAAATGAGCATGTGAATCACCAGGAGGGGAAAGGGAAGGAGTTGAAAGAACTAGAAACAGGAGAGATTCTCACACTAACCTAACCGTAGAACCCTTAATTATCTGCTGAAAAATTGTTTTCTTTGAGATCTTCTAACTGACCCCAGAACGGGTGTCTTAAATCTCATGGTTCTCTGGACTCAACTGAGCAGATGGTTTATATTTTCCACATTCTTCTTGGACCGTCCCAGACCTCACCTTTCTACCTCTTTTCTCACATTTCTTCTTTCTCTGAGTATGATTGTATGGACTACTCAAGATATTATTTTCACTGTTATTCTAGAACAACAATGGGAGCACTCACAAAGGAAGGTAAAAAAGAAAGGTCCATTTTTTGTGAAGAACAAAAGAAAACCTTAGCAGCTAATTGTGCAAAACTTTCAATGCACCTTTGATAATACTATTTCAATACCAAAACACTATAAAACAGGCTTCATCTGGAGCTGCAACAGTCAGGAAGAAGAGGAAGAAGTGGTGAACTGATTAAAGCAAGACTGGAGTCTCAACTCAAAGTTTACACTTGCAGTTCCATTAAAACTTAAATAATACAACCACCAGAAGTAAGCCTCCCTGTGCTCAATGAAGCCATTTAAAAGAAAGTAAAACACAATTCATATTACTGAAATGAGTGTGATAGGCTAGCCACGTGTTTTCTACCTGAGAACAAAATGTTTTATTAAGTATAGTCAAGTGAGCAAAGAGAGCTTACACTGAGAAGGGGAAGGAAGGACGAAAGGAAGGAAGGAAGGAGAGAGGGAGGAAGAAAAGAAAGACTTCATGCATCTTAATTAATTAGAGTAGTGAGGTAGGCAAGGTATAGTGAAGGCCATCTAAAATGACCAAAGTATGAACAGTGAATGCAAAGCCATTTACAATCTAACACATGAAATAACACAAATTTTACTAATCAAGTGTTACCAAGAATCATTTTATTAAGATGCTTATGGGCCAGGGATTTAGCTCAGTAGTGCCACCGCCTGTCTCACAAATCAAAGCCCTGAGTGTGATCCCAGTAATGAAAAAAAAAGACACATTAAACCATTCACTAGAAGCCCACAGTCCCATGCTCACCACTGGCTTCTCTCATCAAGAATCCATTATTTCATAATTTCACCTCCAAGAATCCATATTTTCCAACTCAGGTGATTCAGATGGTCATAAACCATCTTTTGGAAAGGACCAGACTAGAAATAAATGTAATTAGACTTTCTCAATGTGCCTATATAGAAGCAGATTATTCTCATGAGTTAAAGAGCTTATTCACTTAAATCTATTGTCTGATATCTTATTTATAATGCTAAATATTTTACTAGATTCCCATCTTCATTAATAACATAAGCACGCTTCTTACAGACCCTGTCAGGTCTTTATCTTATAAATTAAATCCAAAGACAAAGAGCAATGACAACTTAATATTTCTTTTTCTATAGCTGTAGCACTTGTGTACTTCAAATAGGTTATCACTTAATTTTTCCTTGCAAGGAGAGAAACACACATGGATTCTGTTTTATTAACACTTATTATTTTTAAGCTAATAACAGAAGTTTGAAGTCTAGGAATAGCATATCCAATATTATCTGGGACAATCTCATTCTTAATACTCTAAAATACTGCCTCAAAGCACAGAAATATTGAATCACATATTCTATACTAAGAGTTTATATTAAGAGTAAATGGTCATTCTCCTCACCCGTTTCTGAAAAACAGTGCTTATACTAGTATCATTGAAGACTGTCCAACTTAGAAGATGGGGGAACTATGAAGGAGTTTGGATTTTTGTTTTGTTTTAATTAAGAAAATGCAACATAATTTTGGCAGAGAAGCTGAATCACTAGAATTTCTGATAAATAGATCTCAGATTGGCCCTTTATTTTCAATTTCTGTCATGATCCTCATTCTCTGCCTCTTAAAGAAGCATAACAAAAAATTATTTGGAAAAGATTTGAGCAAAACTAGACTTTTTTCATTAAGAAAAGCTATGCTGAATGACAGCCATCCTGGGCTCCCTGTAATCTGAGGTTTCCCTTTATGTTCCTTGTCCCTCAGCTACATAATGCTTCAGGCTCTGCTTCCTGACGTTAATTTGTGGTTACCGTTGTGACAATACACGGCCAGCAAGCTTGACTATGCCATTCTGAGAAAGGCCCCTTTAAAAGTATCAATATCAGTTTGGACTGAGCAGCAGTGTAATCTAGACATCCTCCCAGATTCTCTCAGCAGAGAGAAACATATACACCCGCCCCCCCATAGTCAGTCGGGGATATTCTATTCCTGAGAAAGTTGTGGGCTCGTGCCTGGCAGTTTGCTCTAGTGAAATCCTGCCCACAGCAGTTTGATAGGTACATTTGATGATCAGTCCTGATTGACCACATCTGGAGATGTTCTTCTGGCTTGTGAACAAAATAAAAATCTCACTCCATAGGAAAAATTCTATGCCTTTTCAATTCGCATTCTGTAATATTGAAAATTCTAATTTGCATATTAAAACTCAATACTGGGTCGGGGATTTAACCCAGTGGCACTGCACCTGCATTGCAAGCACAGTCCTGAGTTCAATTCCCAATAAAAAAAAAAAAAAAAAAAAAAAAGGAAGGAAAGAAAAAGAAAAAAACCTCAATGCTACTTTGCTTTTAAAATAATCTCTTTTGAGTCTAATTGACCTAATGAATGACTCCTTTATCTACAGATTTCTCAAAGGATAGCACTGTTTCCTGCTCCCTGCAAGGAGAAAATGAATGCCTTATTACATTCCTAATAAGTACAGATAACGAGGGGAACACCATCATTCACAGCATCAATGAAAAAGGTGGGTGGCTTGCCTTCCATTGTCAATGTCAAGTAATACTAAGTGGAAGAAAATATTTAGAAAATCACTTTAGGTAGTTTGCCAAAATAGGTATTTTCACATTTTTAATGGAATGCTTCTACTTTCCCAAGGATTAAAGATACTCATCGAAAGGTCTTCTGTGTTCCAATGACTTTTATTGAGGCCAGAGAACACAGTGAATTGTATTTGTCCCCCTTCATCTCCTTGAAAGGTGGCTGCTGAACTGTAGAAAGGGAAACGATAAACCTAAATGTAAGCAAAAGGCATATCTTGGTAAATCTAACAGGGAGGCGTGTAGCTAATTTTTAAAATGAGATTAAATTACACAAACTGGTTCAAATACTGCTCTGCCACTTAATAATGCTCCATACTCTGGAAGATACTTGCCTTTCTGAGTCTCTATTTCTCCTCTGTCAAATGGGGAGGAAGTGGAACTTTCTTCTATGAGCTAACTCAAGGAGTACGTGGAATAACGCATACGTTGTCTCCTAACGCAGCAGCGAGTCATGAAATGCTAATGCTGAATCAGAAGAGATGCAGAGCAGCCAGTGAGGAAGGGTGCCCTCTACAGAGAATCTCCTAGAGCTCATTGCTTCTGTGCATTTTCATTCACATCAGTGCCTGCAGTCAGTTAGGGATTTGGGAAATACTCAAAAATTTCATATTCAGCAAAGGGAAGGAACAAGTTCATATCAGCTATAAAACGAAATAGCAGAGGATGTACTTATGTTACGAAGTTTTCAAATGTAATGATTATCAGATTCACTTGGAAGCTTGTTAAAAATGCCTATTATCTGGAGTCAGCAGGACTGACGTGTGGCCCAGGACTCTGCATTATAGTGACCCAACCCTGGCACAGATGGTCCCAAATTCTCTCTTAGAGTGACTGCCCTAACAATTCTGGCTGCATTCTCAGAAAGAGGGGTCTCGCATCTACTGCCTTCCATTAATGACGTGTTTTTCCCTAAAACTATCTTGCAGAAATAACAGCTGCATGAAATCAGACTTCATCAGATTTTGTCCTTTAACTCTTCCTCTTCCCAAAAGCCTGCAGCCCAAGTTTTAGCATAGATGATAGCAATAACTGTAGGTTCCAGAAGGCAGAGATATTTTTATTTTCATATGCTGATTAAAAAAAGAAAAAAGAAAAGAAAATGAATCTGTGGTATCAGGAAGTAAATCAGTGAAGCTGATTTTTGAAGGCTTCACAGGGGTAACAAATATTTGTCAAAACTCACCAAACTGTAATCTCATGTGTATGTAGTTTATTAGCTGTCACTTGTGTCTTAATAAAATCATGAAAAACAACCAAAAAATAGTAAGTCCTGAATTTTAAATCAAAGCTATCAAATTGGTACCACTTAAGAGCATAAAAAGTAAAACAATACCGATGTAACCAAAAAATAGGTTCAAACCATCGTAATCCAATCGAGAAAACACATCAGAAAAATATCACATTTCTATGCACAGCACAAGAGAGAGCTGGAAGTCACACAATCCAAGAAGTGAGAGGATAACAGAACTGGGTTTAAAAGCTCAGGTGGGCAGAGTGCTCCTGGAGGCCTTCCCTTGAAAAATCTCACGTAAACTGATTTTTTAAAAATACATACACAAAATGCATCTTGCAGCCATTAGTTAAGAAAACATAAGGTGAATCTTGCTGTACAAGAGTGAATAACTATAATACAAAAGAACCTCCTCATTGTTTGCTTTATAAAGTCAAATTCCCCAGCTATATTCCCAACCATCTGTGACTATGAGAGTGGATTTAGCAAGACATCTGGAAATCAAAATCATCCTGTAATCCCATATAGTATTGATTCTACCGGAAAACACATCCCAAACAACAAAAGCAAATTTCCAGAGCTGGCCCTCTTTTTAATGCAGAGCCTTTTGTATCTAGCTGGTTTGATTTTTTTTTTTCCTGTGAAACATGCCTTGGGCTGATAAATGTCTTCTCATTACTGAATTGTTGTCTGTTCTTTTACTTTTCTACACAATTTGAGTGGCACATCAACATGCCATCCTTTAGAGCATGCGCAACTGCCCTGATGCCTTTTTTAGTACAATATTTTATTTATCCCTATGCTTTTGTAGTAAGGAAAAGAGAAGAAAAAAATTACCTGCCTGAGGCTTCACAGGAGTCACCTGAGCTCCAGGGCTGCCTCTTCCTCCACAGATACTTTAGCTCCTGGGTAGTCTGCCTCCTAGGGAAGCCCTGCAGGGTGCCCACCCCGACAAGTCAGCAGTCCTCCCAGTCCCACAGCAAGAGCACTTCTCCAGTTCAGAACTTGGAGAGAAAACAGGCAAAATGAGAAAGCAGAAAGGGGAGCAGAAGGCTACTGATCGCAAGGAAATTGCAAAGAGAGCCAGTGAAGAGTAGTCTTATATGTGGATAGAGTTTCATTTGCAAACAAAAATCATGGTACTGTGAACTTAGGCAGAGCCTTGTTTAACTTCCTTCTTACATCTGGAGGGATTTTCAGAGGATGAGTCACAACAGGGCCAAGGAATGACAGCCAAGGAGGCTTCCTGATGGAAGATGCCACCTACTGTAGATGCTATACCTTCTGGTTCCACTCTGGAAGACCCACCGCCTTTCTCTCTAGAGATAAAAAAAAAGGGGGGGAAGAAGAGTGCATCGTAACAATGGTGCTTTCAATAATAATGTAATAGTGGCTCCCGTTATGGAGCCCTTACTAATGTCATGTGTCAGCCGTTACTTCACATGCTTTGCATGCATTAATTCATTCAATAGCCTCTACAACCATACAAAGCAGGTACTACTGTTATTGTTTACAGGAAGGAGACTGAGGCATAAAGACATAAATAATTCACTAGGTCTTACAGTAATTAAGTGGCAGAGCTAGCTGAGGAGCTCCAGCAGACTGGCTTGGAGCCCATGCCCTTAACCACTATACTGCACTGCCTCCCACTGGCTTTGCAGTCACAAAAGTTGTTAGATCAGCACTATCCAGGACTATTACATGAGGCACACATGTAATTTAAATATTTCCAGGAAGTACATTAAAAAGTAAAGGATATACATGAAATAAATTTTATTTACCATTCTCTCCAAAATATTGTTGTTTTAATATGAAATCAATATAAAATTATTAATCAGATATTTTACTTTTTCACACAAAGTGTTCAAAGTCAGCGTTTGTTTTACACTTATAGCGCAAATTTGGAAAAGTCACATTTCAAATGCTCAGTAGCCGCATATGGTACAGCTACCAGTCTGAACAGGAAAATAGCATTAGATACCCAGCACTGATACCCAGAAGCAGCATTAGGTGCAGCATTGACCTGATCTGATAGGAACCTATACCCAGTGATAGAAGTGACCTTTTTTCAACCTACAAATCTGCCTTCCGTCTGAGAATCAATGAAAGAGGTATGAAAAGTGAAGATCTTTATTGTGGTATAGCTGCTCTGAGAAATGTGCAATACCCAATGACTTTAAGTTCTTAAAATAATTTTCTCTGCCAAGCTATGCCTAGTCCTCCTTCCTTCCCCACTAGAGAGTCCTCCTAATTCATGTTCTGGCTTCAGGGTCTTAGCAAACTTCATCTTGCTTTCTTCAGAAACATACTATGCCCCACTCCAGATATTTCTTAGATAAAACCAAATACAAAGATAAAACCAATACAGTGCTTATTCTCATTGACATGGCCGCTGCTTTCTTTGCAGAGAAACATATTAGAGGCAGCCACGCATTTGCTATGCTAGAACACATTCTCTAGATCTTTATGCTATAGTAGGTATGTCATTAGCAACTTTACTTATTTCTGCATAATCTCCTTACATAATTCCTTGCCAAAAAATATGTAAGGGTGGGCATCATGCTGTTAGGTGATCGTTAGTCCTCCTCAGATCCAGATTGGCTATAGATCTGATCTGAAAAGCAGCATGACTAGTCTTATGTGTAAAACTCCCCTTATTAAATATCTAAGAGCAATAAGAGGCTAAACCAAGCATTATTCATTTCCTCCCTAGGTACCATAGATTTCTCCTCACTTCTTGCAGAGAGATGAAGATGTTTAACGATAATTTTATGTAATCTTTTTTTCCATGAGAGCTTAATTACAATATTTCATTAAGAGATGTATCATCTCCCAAGCATATTGCAAGGATCATTAGTCTTTCTGGTGTCAGTGAAGGAAGGTAGTATATAATTGCAAAATTATATTGCTACTATTAATAGTCAAAATAACATTTCATAGAATCCTCAAGTTGAGAAGTCCATATAGAACATCTAATTTCTCAAACTTCCCTAATGTAAGAATCACTTGGAATACTTTCCGTACTGAAAGAACTGTGGCTTCATCCAAGATCTAGTGAATCAAAATCTTAGGAAAGGTGTCTAGGATGCTGTGGAGTAAGAAGCATGAGTACCCTGGCTTGTTTCTGTGATTAGGAAATTTGAAGGAACACTGAATTTTGTTTTACAGATAAAATCAGGGACACAGGTACTGTATATCAGATGGAAATTGAACCTAATCCTCCCTGCTGTAGTCCACTAACTTTCCAGAATATCAGAGCCTTACAATTAGGTTCAACAAAATAAAACTGAGCCAGGATTGCCTTCTGCCTCTAAGAAAGGAAGTTCCAGCTAACAACTTTTTCAGGGCTTGGGTTTTATATAATTTTAAATGTGCAGTAGTACCTTGGTTCACAGACTTAATTATTTCCATGATTCTGGTCACCAACTGAATTGGACAAGAATCAAGTCAAATCAAAGTCAGTGGTTAGATTCAATGTTGATTTTATGGGAAAATTTGATGCAGTTCTCATCAATTCAGTTTGCAACTAGAGTCCTGGAAAAAGATTAAGTTCGTGAACCAAGATACCACTGCAATCTCCCAAACTGCTTAAAAAGATTATTCAGAAAGACCCTTGAAGAAGTAGTTGCATATATTAAATACACACATTCACACACACACACACACACACACACACACACATTCCACTTCTACTTTATCATTTATTCAGAAGAAACATCTTTACTGATTAAATTATGTAGTCTTTTTTCATGGTCCTTTAAATATTCTATGTGCATCAAAGGTTACTTTAGGGGTTTCTAAATCTTTTTCAATCAGTCATCAAGTACACCATCATCCCTCAGTATCTTCAGGTGACTGGTTTCAAGAACCTCCTGAAGATAGCAAAATCTGTGCATGCTCAAGGCCCTCACATAGAATATGTAGTTCTGCACATGACCTGTACACATCCTGATGTACACTTTAAATCATCTCTAGGTCATTTTTAACACACCATACAATGTCTGTAAATAGTGATTGCATTTATAGTTTAAAGGGTAACATTGCGGGGGATACTGTTTGTGTTCAATACAGACACATGTTTTCCAATATTTTCAACCCAAGCTTGCAGAACCCAAGAATATGGAGAGCTGACTATATATTCATTTACTTGGAATGATTAAATTTTTCTTTTATCTTCTATTCTGCTTTGAAGAGATAGAGAGATATCCTTCCACCAGTAATGTATTTAAAAAAAAATTCAGCAAGACAAAATAATGTCAACATTCCTTTACTGTAGAAAAGGTATGAATGAAAAACTCCATAAGAAGTGTCTTCCCGTGGGCTAGGAATGTAACATGGTGGTAAAACCCTTGCCTCTCATGTGCAGGGCCATTAGTTCAATCCTCAAAACCACAAAACAAAAATGTCTTTTCTAAATGAAATGTTGATTGTTTCAGCTTTTTCACACAATTTCATTTGTTTTCACAGACTGCCCAAAACCTCCAAACATTCCCATGATCATGTTGGGGGTTTCACTGGCTATTCTTCTCATCGGGGTTGTCCTTCTGTGCATTTGGAAGCTGCTGGTGTCATTTCATGACCGTAAAGAAGTTGCCAAATTTGAAGCAGAGCGATCAAAGGCTAAGTGGCAGACAGTATGTGAACACTTACTGCTACTCTTTGTTTAACAGTCACTGGTGGAAATAACGGGGGCAGTGCCCCACTTTCTTCTGTCTGACAGAGAGTTCAGGTGTCACATTATTTCTCTAACATTCTCATCATAACCCCAACTGTTTCTGTTCTGCTTTAGGGGCAAAAGAATCTCTTTCCATTATCTGGATCCAGATAGCCCTTACAACATATACATGTCTTACATGCAGTGGGGATTGCCACCACTCTGAAGTCTCATGAAACTGCTGATATAGTGACTTACGGGCCTCATGGAGGTCTGTTTTATTTAGTGCCTCCTACCACCAAGAGGTCCCTCAGACCCCATTTACTAAAGCATAAGTGCTGGATCTCAACATTTCCATGAATTGGTTATGTGATAGCTGATGGAATAATATTTGTGAATAGTATGATAGCTCATGCCAGTTTCTATGAAAACAGTTGTTACTGATATAATAGGTTCAAGGCAAAGTTGAGAAAGCTTTTTAAATATCAGGCAATTTTTGTGAATATCATAAATTTAGACATCCACTAAAAGATGAGGTATCAACCTCTAAATATATTTACTCACTAGAAATAATTTGAGTCCTTTCTTCACAATAGGCAAACAGAAAACAGGATTATAATTTTTCTGTGTTTCTTTTCCACAGGAGAGATAATTGCATTTCTAGAGACCCCTAGAAACAATTTCATGGTTTTAATTTCATCTCTCTATCTCTAATGGTGTGCCTATCTATCTCATAGCAATTATCTTACATTGCAGATTCTAAAAACACTGGAGAAAATATAGGCAAACACAATGTTCCTTTGGGTTCATTTGCACAAATAAATTGATGTTAACACTGTTTTCTCTAAGCCTATAGCAATACCTTCAATTCCTAAAGCAAATGAAATTCTCTATTTTGAATAATTTTATCTTGACAAGGAATATTTACATTTTAGGCAGTTATTTCAAATTAATCATAATATTTGGTACAGTAAAAGAGACTGAAAATTTAAAAATCCCCTTAGATACAACCAACAGATGTAATGAATGGACCTTATTTGGGTCCTAATTTAAATAGTGTAATTATAAAAATATATTTTTAAGACAACTGAAAAAATTAATACATATTGAATATTAAAATACTAGTAGTTTGATTAGGTATGATAAAGGCATGTGACTCTGCTAGAAAACATTTTAGTGATGCAAAAGAAGAATATATTCTGAACAATATAGAAGCAAATGGAAATGGAGGTTGGGTATATTTTCAAATAATTCAGCCAAAAGAGAAAATGGGTGGGAGGGATAAAGTGGTTACAGTAAAAGCTTCATAATTGTTGAATCTGTGTGATGGGTCTGTGGAAATTTGCTATGTAACTTTCTTCTTGTGCATGTATGGATTTTTCATGAATGCACAAAATTCTTCGAAAAGTAAAGTGCACATTTGCAATAGGAATGTAATTGATCCATCTTTATTAGGGTAAAATGTAACCCAGCAGTTTAGCTCAGTAACCTGCAACATACTGTTAATAGGCCAAAGCTGTGGTACACTTCACTTCACCTGATGACCATAGCCACAGACATTATTTTAAACTCTCACCAATTGTCAAGCAACTGCTTGGCAGAGTCAGAAGAGCAACCAGGAGAGAGGCCCACCCAGATACCATCCATAAGCATGTGCAGACCCCAGCCAGAAACCCACATAGACAACAGTGACATGGGTGTGCAGGTCCCACCCAGAGGCCCACACAGATGCCATCAGTAAGTGCATGCAAGCCTCAGCTAGAAGCCCACCAGGACAACAGCTACACAGGCATGTAGGCCCAAGCCAGGGGCCTTCCCAGACACCAGCAGTTTGGGCATTCAGGCACCAGCCAAAGGCCCAACCAGATACCATTGATACATGTACACACGCCCCAGCCAAAATCGGCCCAGACAACAGCCCAGCCAAAAGCCCAGTCCAGTGTGGGGATCCAGATGGCAATCATTTTGAACCTAGGAATTGGTGCAATGGTGGGCAGCAGAGAGAAGGCCTCTCTGAGTTGAGAATGGAGCCCACAGGAAGAGCAAAGAGTCACTGCATAAAGACACAGCAGACTGCATCAATTGAAATGAGAAGAAACCTAAACAAGACTCAAAAGTAGACTTTCATATCACCAAAGGCAACCCTAAGGGAAACAAGATGGAACAATCTAAAACTCAACCTGAACTCTGAACTGGCAACAAAAGAAGATCTAGAAAAAATAAAATCAGAAATAATTTATCAGAACAAAAGAGATTGTGCCCATAGAGACATGATTAATAACTCTACAGCAGATAGATAAAAATAGAGAAGCTGAGGGACAAGATGGCATCCTAGCATAGGGAACAAATGAAAACCATAAAATAGATGCAAACAGATATCGGGGAGATTAAAAACTCCACTGATAGTTTATGCAGCAGAATGAGCCAATGTGAGGACAGAATATCAGATATAGAAGATAGGATTGCAATTAGTGACCAAGAAAAGAAAGATTTCTTAAAAATGGCAAGGGAACACAAAAAAATCAGTCCAGCAGCTATTAAATGATGTGAAGAAAAATACATAAGACTGATCAGAATCAATGAAGAAACAAGAGATAGTGCAAATGACATTAAAAAAAAAAAAACCTGTTCAGAAAAGTAATGGCAAAAAACTTCCCAAGCAGTGAAAAAGAATTTGACACATGATAAGTAACGTATATGGGACTCCAACTAGTTATGATAAAAAAAATCTATACCTAGCCATATAATAGTCAGGATTCTAGAAACCCAATAGAAGAACAAAATTCTACAAGCAGTTAGAGAAAAGAAGCAAATCACATATAAAGGAAAGCCCATCTCAACACAAACCCTCAAAGCAAAAAGAGCCTGGAGTGTAATATTTCAAATCCTAAAAGAAAATAACTTCCAACCCAGATTGATGTAACCTGCAAAATTATCTTTCATACCTGATATAGAAATAAGATACTCTCATGACAAAAAACACCTAAGGAATTTCATGAATACCAGAACAGCATTCCAATAAATTTTAAACAATATCCCAGGAAAAGACAATGAGGGTCACAACCCAAGGAAGCCCAACTCAAAGAATTCATCAGGCAAAACAAGAAATTAAATGCAAAGAGGAAGAATCCAACAACAGGAAAAGGTCATGACAAGGATAAGTCAATACATATCAGTTATAGCCATCAATGTTAATGGTCTCAATTTACCAATCAAAAGAAATAGACTAGCACAATGGGTCAAGAAGCAAAGTCCAACAGTATGATGCACACAAGAAATAGATTTAATTCAAAAAGAAACTTATAGACTGAAAATTAAAGGGTGGAAAACAATACTCCATGTGACAAAAACCCCCAAAACAGCAGGAGTAGCTATCCTATTTGCAGATAAAATGGACTTCAAACCAACACTAATTAAGAGAGACAAGGCCACAACATCCTCATAAAGGGAACAATCCAAGAGGAAAAGAAGACAATCATAAATATATATGCACCAAGTACTAATGCACCCAACTATATAAAACAAATATTAATGGACATAGAGAAGCAAATAAATATTAATACAATAGTAGAGGACCTCAATACCCCATTGTCACAAATAGATAAAAAATAAATAATGAAATACTAGAGCACAACTAAACTCTTGAACAAATGGACTTAAAAGATGATTACACAGTGTTTCATCCCCCAAATTAGAATACACATTCTTTTCAGCTGCACATGGGTCATTCTCCAAAACAGGCTACATACTTGTTCATTGAACATGTTTACGTAAATGCAAAGAAATGGAAGTTATCCCCTGTATATTTTCAGACTATAGAGTAATGAATTTGAAGATTAATAGCAAAAGAAACCACAAGAATTTCATAAACATATGGAAATTGAACAACATACTCCTGAATAACCAACCGGTCACAGAGGAAATTAAAGAAGAAATCAGATAGTTCTTACAATTAAATGACAATGCCAATACAACATATCAGAATCTATGGGACACAATGAAAACAATCTTAGGAGGGAAATTCATAACAGTGAATACTCATATTAGGAAAACAGACTGAGCTAAAATAAACAACCTAATGCTGAACCTCAAGCTTCTAGAAAAGGAGCAGGACAACCCAAAGCTCATACATGGGAGGAAATTATAAACATCAGAGCATAAATCAATGCAATGAAGACAAAGATAATAATTTTAAAAATCAATGAAATAAATAGTTGGTTCTACAAAAGAATAAACAAAATAGACAAACGCTTAGCCAAACTTATCAAAAAAAAGAAAGAAAGAAAGAAGGAAAGAAAGAAAAGGCCCATATGCATGCAATTAGGAATGAAAAGGTTGAAATTACAATGGCCACAGCAGAAATCCAGAATCAACACGTACTTTGAGACCCTATACACCAATAAGATGGAAAACAGAAGAATCGGATAGATTTCTAGATATATATGAATTTCTAAAGTTGAATGAAGAAGATCTAAAAATTCTAAATAACCCAATATCAATCAATGGCATTGAAAACATAATTAAAAAACTTACCAATAAAGAAAAGCCTGGGTCCTGATGGCTTCATTGCTGAATTCAACAAGACATATATAGAAGAACCATTGCCACTACTGTTTAAACTCTTCAGTGAAATTTAAAGGGAAGCAGTACTCCTAAATTCATTCCTGGAAGCAAGCATCAGAGAAAGACCCAAATGAAAAAGAGAAGTATAGGCCAATCTCACTAATGAACATAGATGCAGAAATCTTCAATAAGATACTGGCAAACAGAATCCAGGAGATCATCAGGAAGATCATACACCCTGACCAAGAGGGATTCATCCCAGGGATGCAGGGATGGTTCAACATATGTAAATCAATAAATGTAATGCACTCTATTAACAGAGCCAAGAATAAAAATCATATGATCATCTCAATAGATGAAGAAAAAGCATTTGACAAAATCCAATACCCATTCATGATTAAAAACCCTACAGAAAAT